CAGTTGCTTCGACTTATTGTTTACAGATATACCATGGCCTGGATGCATGAGAACCTTCACAGACATTTCTATAGGTGTGTTGTTGCCATTTTTAAGATAAGGGTGAGGTTCCTCGTCTCTTCATTCCTGGCTCATTTTCGGCTTCGGCTCTTGTGCCATATTGCCAAATGAGGAGGATACTACGTCTACGCCTTGGTTCAGCTTTATTGCTCTCTGAGATGAGAGATGATGGTTCTAATTCATTGTTCACTTAGCAGGTAGTAGAGATGAAGTGGTGACACAGGAAGATGCATTGTTCAGCTGGGAAATATGTTTGTCACTTAATTAAATTACCATATTGGTTGTACAAGATTACAAATCCTTTGGGGGAAAAAATAAACATAAACTGTACATGAAAATGTTTTACCAGAGCCCCCCCCCCCCCCAACTAAAAATGTGTGTAAGCTGACAATGACTTGTGCTAGGTGTAAAGAAGTAAAACCAGAATTGTAGAAAAAACCATTTAGCAGGTTTATTTGGAAACTTCAGAAACAAATACGCTCAGCCATCTACAAGGTAAGAAAAAATAGCTTGTTTATTTACATAACCAGGTAAGTGCTTCACTGAAACATATACATTATATTCTGATTCTGTTTTGTGTTGTGTATTCTTCCCCATGAGGTGATGGACTACTTCCATGTAAATAGGAACTGTGGGTGCTCTCTAAGTCCCGAATGCTACCTTAAAGGCTTACTTTGTCTTTTAACAAGTGTTTTGTAATAAATATAATAAAAATATCTTATTAAATATATTTTTATTTTCTTTTATCCTTTATATTCTATCTCTTTTAGATTTCCCTACCAGTCTTTTTTCTGGCTGTAAAAATGATAATAATATCAGCCAGGAGTCAGACCTTATGAATACATCACAGATGGATTACCACCAGCAGTTTTAGGACTTGTGTACACTGGTTTCCTGCATTTGAAGCACACGTTAAACACAGGTCAGTAGATTCCCATCTACCTCAACATTGCAGGGTGGACAACAGCTCTGAGTCTGTTTGGGTGTGCTGCGCTCCTCTGAACACAGCAGGTCCTATTGAGATACATTTGCGTTGAAGCAAAGCAGGTGAAATGCAGCCTTTTGTTATTTGTGAACGCATGGCACATATCCAAAGTTAGCATTACCCCCCAAGCTATTGCTCTAATTAAATTTTTCCAAGATCTGAGTATAAAGATAAAGAATCTGCTAGCGTAGGTATAACAGCTGTGATATGTAATAGTTAGGCATCAATGGCAAATGGGTAGATGATGTTGTTAGTGGCTCTGGGCAAGCCTGACCTCTGTTATTTTCATCTCACTCTAAGCCTAGGGAAATGGTCAATCAGGGCTAGGAAGACCACTAAGTCTGTTTGACCTCAGGCCCTATAAACCTCCAGAACGTTCTCTGATATTTAATTGCTTGGCATGGCTTGCCTTACACTGCCATTGAGCAAATAAACAGCATTTCACAGAAGCAACACATATATTATTTTTAAAAGCTAAGTTTACCTTTTAGACCATGGTTCACATTACACCCATATTTTGGATGTATTTAGGGTTAACATGAACATGGTCACATCCCTAGCCCCTCACCCCCAACCGTTCCCCCCATTTACCTAAATCATGGGGTTCTCCTCCCCACAGGCTGCTGTAATCTTTTAAATGTGGCGCAGTGTCCACAGCTGCGTCATCCATTCACAGATCCTTTGAAAGGATCTGTGAATTGAGAGATTGCAAGCCCAGCCTGCCAACGTGGCAGAGGGACTTGTCATCCCTATTTGAGTACAAGTACAGCGACGTCAACCACTGATCATGGTTGCAATGCTTTACAGGCTTCAATGTAGAAAAATAATAAATGCACAGTTCATCTTTTATGAATATGTGGGCAGTTATTCATTTTTTGTAAAAGGTAGATGATGCCTTTAAAAAGGCAGAGGAAGCATGGCAGGTGACATACTCTATGAGAAAATGCAGAAAGCCCTTTGCAAACAGCTTGGTAAAGTCTGGAAAATGTAGCAGGGCAGTTATTAAATGAACGGGGTTAAAGGTGGAGGTTTCTTTCAACTGTGCAATTTTCATATTTTGACACTTTATCAGATCTCGTCTTGCAATATTTAATCAGAGTTTGCCTAATGATGTATAACTCAATGCTTTGACCTCCACTTTCAGGACAGGCAGGAAAAAATAACAGAGGTAATTGCAGCATAGCAACACTTTACCCATTTGTGGCGAGGGGACATCGTTGCCCACAGGCCCATGCCGTGACTCTAACTTCATGAGTAATTTGCCTACCTAAATTATGTTTACACTGTTTTTTTAAGTACGTTTATGTCTTTTATTCAGAACATTGTTTTAATAAATACCCTGTTCTAAATTCTTTATTATAGGCTGAAGAATAGATTAAAATGTGAAATATTGCATATTTCACTTTAACAGCTTATAACAATCTTTTTTTTACAGGTTGCCTTTCCCTGACTGCTGACTGCTTCTGGCAAATGTGCCTTTCTATGAGTTTGTAAAACATGCCATGTGATCACTATGGCATCATAGGAGCTATGCTGATTAGATTGATTCTAGATCATTGTATTGGATTGCTGTATTATACGTTTTCTAATGTCCATAGACACCTTCAGGCTGGTCATAGACAGCTCGAGTTAGCAAGCCAATTTCAAGCATTGCTAGTAATAGTTGAACTTAAAGAGTGTTACAACAAATGCAGTTGAACATGCTCATTGGAGCTCAGGAGATTTTTAATCTTCGCTACTGAGAATGGGTAAAAATCAGACATTATACATATACTGTACAGTAATACCTCGGTTCACAAACGCTTCTGTTCGCAAACAATTTGATTCGCTATCAGAAAGTACAGCAAAATTTTGCTTCAGTTCGCAAACTTCACATCGGGTGACAAACACGACTGTGGTCATCTTCCCCGCTCTGACATGTGGTTGTGGCTTCCTCTAGTCGAGATCGCGGTCGTAGACAGATCTGTGCACATTTGCTGTGAAGCTTTTTTGTGTGCTTTTTAGCACATACAGTACTGTACAGTATTATTCAATCCCGAATGGTTTCAAAGAAAGTGCAGAGCAAGCATGGCGGTAAAAAGAAAGTGCAGAGCGGTGATGAAGGTAACCAGAATGTGCACAGTGGTAAAGAAGGTGACAAGAATGTGCAGAGTAATAATGAAGGTAACTAAAATGTGCAGAGTGGTAATGAAGGTGACAAGAAAGTGCAGCGCAATGATGAAGGTAACAAGAAAGTGCAGAGCAAGAATGGTAAGAAGAAGGTTTTGAAGAAAATAACCATTGAATTGAAGAAGGAAATTGTATAAAAGCATGAGCGTGGTATTCGTGTGACTGATCTGGCCTCGGAGTACAACGGAAAAGATTACCTTATTTACATTGAACCTTATGGGGAAATTTGATTCGGTTCGCGACCAATGCGGTTCGCAACCAGAATTGTGGAACGAATTAAGTTTGTGAACCGAGGTACCACTGTACACCTCTGTCAGCATAGGAGAGAATCAAGGCAGGATCCAAGGTTCATGCAATGCAGGCAGATATCAACCCCACCTTTCATTCTTAGGCAGATACTGTATCTGTCCATCTATGAACAATCTAACTGGTCAACTGGAAATGGATGTGTTGTAGACTATTTCTAAATTAATTTTAAGCTGATATAAAAGACACATTATTGCAGCTATGTATTTATTATTACATTACTGTACATACATTGTTTAGTTTTTTTACATTTAATGGCATTTATTTTACATGCAATAAATTTGGTAAAGTAGAAAATGTAACACAGTGCTAAAGGTATGAAAAAATAAATATTATGGCAGTAAAGTAAGTGACTATAGGGCTAAATAAATTTGGTATCAGCCTCTTGCAGTCCCCCATGCAGTAGAACTCAAAGTGGGAGGGGCAGTACTGGGAGCCAATTGGATATGTTGCATGCAAATGTTTTGAAATTGCTGATAGGAGAAGAGAGCACAGGGGGTGACTTCATCAGTCTCCTGCTGCTTTTTCACTGTGCAGTCAGCAGGCTGGGGTGAACACTGTATTCCTAACCGTACGTGGTATCATCCGTTTGGCTGTGCTGTTTGACAGGGAGCTGGATGGACAGAAATACAAATCCTTTGGCAGGTAAAACAGCTCACTTATATGTATTTTATCTATGTTTTTAGCTATTTGCATGGAGTTCAGCTTTGATTGAACCTGTTTAGAGTAAAGAGTTTTATGACTGCTTAACAACCTCTAGGGGTTTTTAGAAGTAACAAAAGAAGTGGTTACACATCGTTAGGTATTATTACAGTGCTCTATTTATCTCAGGAATAGAAAATCTGCACCTCCTCTAGACTTTCATCAAAATAGAAAAATTCAAAATAGGGCAATCCAAAAGTGACTGACAGTTTAGGATGGACTCCGGCAGAGTTCAAATATCCACTGATTTTACATCTTGGAACCTGGCAAGTAGATCTTCACTGTAAGTTCCCAACGGCCCACTTCTCCACAGAAGTAACAAACCTTAAGCTTGCCATACATTGATGGAAAAAAGCAACATTGAAAATTTTACTTGAGAGAACAAAATTCTAACAGTGAATGTGTTCAGGAAACGCCATTCATTCCAAAATCCAATGTTAAAAGCAAACAATATTTTGAGCTACATTCATCAAGTCTCTGATGGCATTATCGAATGTTCTGACAAGATTTCTCAGATGAACGTTCATATAAAAATCGACCATTGTATGGCCAGCTTAACTCTGTTCAACCACCAGTGTCAGCTGTGCATTCCCCCTGGTGATTCTACTGTAACAGATGCAGTGAGGGAGTTGAAGAATTTGAAAAAGATCTAAGGATGTGTTTATAAGCTGGCAGATATCAATCTTAACTGGGCACCACACAAAACTGAATAGACAGCTTTGGGTAAAAATGTTGTTTGTTGCCCTCATAAGAGTCCATTCCATGCAGCGTACAGACGAGTAAAGCATATTTTACATTTCCTGGATTACTGCAGAAAGACAGATGTTGGCACACAGTACTCATCTCTCTGAGAGTGATATAAAGTAATAATAATAAATACACCGGTAACAATTACATTGCAGAGTCATTCTCCTCTGTATGTGGTTTGTCATCCATGACTGCTGATTCCAAGGACAAATCAGAAATAGTCACTGTAGGGGTTGTCACTGTAGGGATTGTCACTGTAGGTGTTGTGTCATTCCTGCCACTGGCTTCTGATAATGGGGGAATAGTATCTTCTATCAGAGACAAACACACTGTTTCTGGTGATGTAGATCTGCTGTCTGTAGTACGATTTTGTTCTCTGCAGTTTTCAGCAGAACCTTCCAGATGAAGATCTGTCTGTAGTACCTCGGCGTCACTGTAGAAGCTGGTCAAATGGCAGCTATCACATGTTTCATCTGTTGGAAGTTTCAAGAATTCTGGTAGAACAAGGTCCTCTTTACATAGTAACCCACGCTGGTTATCTGCTCGAGTGCTCTGAACTCTGTTTAGCATCTCTACCAATCCTACAAAGAAAAAAATATTGCTCAATTACAAGTAGCACCAATATATGTAAGCCTTTACTACCTTCTCCCCAGTAAAGCATGCTTTGCCAACACCCCACTTCTCTCTCGCATGCTTTGCCGACACCCCACTACTCTCAGGAGCAAATGGAGTAAAGAGAACCTATACTAAAAGTTAATGTCAATAATCTAATTACCATGGTAAAACCGGGGGGTTTAGATATTTACTTTTGCTAAAGTCAATGCTGCTACAGAATCCCTGTAATCCTTAAACAACCAAAAGTCTAGGCATTGGTCAAATGGTATCTGCTGAAGGTAAGGATCAGCAAACCTGAATTCCTTTACCCCTCTTTAGCAAAGATCCCATTACCATAAACCTCAGTTTTTAGTTATGTGGTCAGCAATGAAAGAAAACAGGGTGTCAGAAAGCCAGAGTCAGAGTTCGAGCGTCGCCGTCTGCGCATGCGCCTGTTGCGGACCATAGAGCCGTAATAGGAGCAGCGTCTTTGTGTAAACGTGCGCGCATACGTGTCATTTGAACAATTGGCACCAACTGGGCTATATAAAGGCTGTGTTCAGCTATCCTCCTATGCTGTCAGATCGTCAGCTTTCTGTGTTCTGTGTTCCTGTAAATTCTGTATCCTGATTACCCGTTACTGACCCGGCTTGGACTACCCTCTGTTGTTGCTTGCTCCCTGAAGACCCCGGTTTGTTTTTGACCTTGATCCTCACCCCTTGTACTACATTGCTAGCTCGTTGATGACCTCGGCCTGCTTGACAATCCTTCTGCCTTGTGTGTTCTGCTTCCAGCTTCCTCAGCTCATCTGATCTAGAGCCTTCTTGATCCACTTCGGTGCATCCACATCCTGCTTCCTGCCTGGATCTACGCACTTCATCTCATCTCGCAGACGCAACAGGCTAACCAGCCTCTGGCACCCTTGCCCCTCTGTGCCCCGGCGCCCCTGTAACCAATCCAGGTGCTCCGGGACCGGAGCTGTGAGAGAGGCCGCCCTCGTCAACTCAGACTCCCCTAAGGTACGTGACACAGGGGCAGCATTTTCTCCAGAAAAGGTCAATATTTCATCCCTTTTGTAAATCTTTATTCATCCCAGTTAACACAATTCTGTTACCAGTACAGGTCCACTTGATGACGATCAATTTTTTTCACCTATACTCCAGACTTGATAGGTATACAATATCTATGAGAGTGCAATCCATATAAGTCTAAGCATATAAAAATATATTATTTACCCCCTAGAAAAAGGAGAATTATATTTTTTTATTAGCTGAAGGAGCAAAGTTAATTATGTTATTACCACACAGAAGGCTTTACAAAGGTTCTACTGTGTTTTGTTTTAATAAAAAAAAAAAAGCCAAATAAGTAATAAATCTGTTTCTTTTTAACCACTACACAATATGTCACCCTTTTGACAAGACGTACCTTCAATGTCATTGTTGGGTCGATAGGGTCTATTTTTCACTTGGCTGGATTTGTTAAACTTGGTGGTAAGTGAAGCATGATTTGCATGACTAGATTCCTTGTTTGCTCGATGGTGGTGATCTGCTCTTGTCATGCTTAGTCCAGTTTTTTCCTTTGTTGCATGTTCTTTTTGTATGGAATTCAATGGCAAGGTGAGTTTCAACTACAGAAATATAATGGATTACTGTTTACAGATGTCTTTGCTCACGGCAAAATTTGGGCAAGGTTTACTCTACTGGGTTGCACATATTTGCTGAACAGGCAATAATAATCCCTGTTATTCCCATTGATCTTTATGTTTTCAAAATAGACCACACTGTTTTCTGCATAAAACTGTCAGAGCTTTCATTAAGGAAGACAAAAGGGGACTGATCGGCAACCATTAAAGCCAACAATATGTCACCACCTGTATTTGGTATAAAAATGAGGACCTCAGTGCATTAAAGAGTAACTACAAGCAAGAAATGTATTGCTAAGACTATCTAGAGAGAACTGGCACCCTGGTTGTTCTCACATGTCCTTGCAACCAGACTGAGCAGGACTTTCAGAAACAGTCTGCAGATTCTTTTTAGTTATTTTTGCTTGGGAATTCTTCTGCAGAACTACATCTTGTTGTACAGGATGCTTCCAGGAGATTGCAATATGATGAATCAAGGGTATGAATACATTCAATCTGAATGACCAGGAGTAATTTATAACCTAATTGGGGCTGTGGTGGGGCAGGCATAATTAGAATGGACAACTAATTAAAATATACAGGGTTATTCACAAAAGGGAGAAGAGTTTGGAGAAGGCCGGAGAAGTGAACAATCAAGGACAACATAGCGGATTTGGAAACATTCTCCAATTCAGCTCACTTTCCAGTTCAGCTATGTTGTCCTAGATTGTTCACTTCTCCTGCCTTCTCCAAACTCTTCACCCTTTTGTGAATAACCCTGATAATGTATTTTCAGATGGGCAGAGCTAGGAACTTAGGACTCTATGTTGTCAGTAATCAAAGCGATTTGCAGAGAAGGACAGGCTGATGCACTGAAATGTCATAATGAAAGCTACAGATGCAGTGCAGGTGGGCAGCACTAACATTGTTTTTTAAAATGGCATGTTGTCACACTAGAATGGAATGAGGATTTAATACTTTACATGGGGAAGGTCCGTGTGATCCTTGTTGTCTATGGGGTTTCAGTCAGTAATAGACATAGCATTTTACCTTAACTTGTCTTTCAACTGTATGTCCTCCTGTTTTTATAGGATCGTTCACATCTCCTGAATCAAGAAAAATGTACTGTAAAATTATAGATAAACCCATACAGCATTAACAAGAGCATATGACAAATTGCATGATTTTGTTTCTTGCTTTTAGACTTATTAGTACAAAAAGCACCATTATGCATGAGGTCTGCACATTCCTGAAGAAAAGACATAAGGAAATGCCTACTCTCATCAGCAGTCATAACATAATTGTAGTCTTTCATTTTAGGGCTACCATTTCCATAAAAATGGGCTGACTCATGCCTAAGAGTTGAGTATTCAGTGTTTTTCTTTTGTTTATCCCACCTACATGCACTTGTTCTACATTAGCCTACATAAAACACAAGTCTAAGGTCTTCACAGAGCTGCCTCCTTCAATCCCAAGCTGCTTTCCATGGAGGCATGGCAAAGTATGGCAAAGTCAAAGCAAAGTATGCTGGCTTTTATTAATATTTGACATTTGTTTTTTTATATGATAAACTAATGTTTTGTATAATTAATCCATTAAAATGTATGTGAATCCAGAACTTTAGTTTTATATATGTAGGGAATGATTACATCTGTCTGGTTTTTACTGCTATCTGGAGCTCTGTTAAGGTGCCCATACACTGGCCGAATTTCAGCCGGTTTTTAATGTAAAGGCAGTACTTTGAGGAACTGGCCAAAATTTGCACAGTCTGTGCCGCTGTCGCCACCCTTTTGGCCGGAAAAAAGAATCTTTGTACAATCAGAGCTTCTAGCCATTAAGTTGGGTATTCTGACAAGGCCAGCCACTGTCAGAATACAATGTAAACAGCGGCGAATCCTCGATCGACACGCTGTTAGTGTTGATGGAGGAATTGCGTCAGCTTTAGAGAGATTTCTCCTCAACAGTTTAACTAGAGAGTAAGCAAGGGAAGATCTGCAACAATGACATCTCAAAAAGGTTCCAGCCTTCTCCTATTCTACTTTTAAAAAATTAAAAATGTGTTTCCATCTGTGTTGCTGTTGGAGAGTTCCCCTGATTTCCTGTCTAGTTAAAGGACAGAAAGTAAAAGTCTCGAATAGCAGTAAAAACCTGACCAGGGATCCAACCCTTCCCCACTCAATACAAAGCCAAGAAAAATGTTTTGGCTTGCTATTCACTTATAACTTGGTTTGCAAAACATCACAGGCTTTCCTACTGACATAGCATACTTACTGACAGCCTGTGTATAAACAACTAAACCAGACTATGGTGGAAGAGAGGGAGAGGGTGTGCCCTTCCTCTGAGTCATTCAGCAGAATGTTTACCCTTAATAAAAATGATTAAAAACATATATTTTTTAAATGTATTTTTAGTCCTTGACATTTTGAATAAATAGCCAAAAATATATAAAGCCAGACTGTTTAATCTCTGCTTGAAGAGAGGGATGGGGTTTTTCTATTCCTCTAAATCATTTAGCAGAGTGTGTAATCTAATCTCCCTACCTGCCGGTGTCAAAAAATACCTATATAAAATATTCATATGAAATATTAAATAGAATTAAAAACATGTTTTTAACTTTTTTTTTATTTGACATAATGAATATATACAATAAAATTAAAAATACGGTTTTCAGTAGATATGATGGATTTGCTAGCAGGCATGAGGGTGGTTAAAGAAGGAAGAAGGATGTACAACAGAACTATGTAGAACAGCTCTCATGAAATGGACACAGGAGGTCAACCTCTCAGCTAAATCAAGATAAATGTGTTTGTAGCAAATACAAATTGTTGGCAAATGAAGTAAAATAGAAAAGGTCATCACTTTTATTAAACTGAATAATGAACTAAATATTTGAAAAGTGACAGACAATTCTTTAAAAAACACAGCTCCTTGATCAACCAACTGCCTGCCTGTTATTTTGGAAAATAAATAAGATGAATTTTCTTACCGGGGAATGTGTGCAGAATAAGAGTCAGTCCTGCTACCTGGCTCACAGACATGCTTTGATCTACAGCTTGTGGTTCACCCATCTGTTGAATAATGAAGCACATTAAATACATATATGTTTATTTCATTGCATGCCTACATAAGCATAGCAGAAATCCATAAAATCCTCTAAAAATTCTTAGGGTTCCTTTGGAAGGCTAAGAAGACGTGTCAACAAATAGACTGGTATTGTGTTTCCCAAGGTGCCTAAGCAAATTGAAATACAAATTAGGCTTCTAGGAATTAGGCAACATAGTTTATGATGGCTTGTAAGCTTCCTTGATATATAAGCAACTTAATCCATCACTAGGTGCAGTATTTATTTCGGATAATGCTTCTAAATTCAATAAGCATTGGACTTTCAGCCTACAATGCATTGTTTCAATAGACTCTCAGCTCTATAATGGTCTCTAATTGCCCAAAAAATCCTTATTGAATTCAGTGACCTAAACAAACATAGCACAACATTTTTAATTAACCAGTTACCAAATTCGCAAGTTTTTCCATAGGAAAATTCATTACTGGTAATAGGTGTAAGTAATCATCTGGGGGGGGGAGAGGATATCAGTTTGGTTGCATTCTCAGTCTTTTAAACTGTCATATCCCTAATACATATAGGGACAGATTTAATATCCTGGTTCCCATGTTTCATTCCTGAATGCCTCCAAGAGGAATTGCCTCTAACAGGGTTATTCACAAAAGGATGCAGAGTTTGGAGAAGACAGGAGAAGTGAACAATTTAGGCCACAATAGCTGATTTGGAAAAATTCTCCAATTCAGCTCACTTTGCAGTTCAGCTATGTTGTCCTAGATCAGGGGCGCCCACTATTTTTCGTCTGGAGATCTACTTTTCAAATGACGAGCTCATTGAGATCTACCAACGAAAAAACACCTGCATTCAGGGGCGGGAGGGGGCGTGGGCTGCGCAGGCAGGCCCCTCGCCCACAGTGCGATCGCCTGCATTAGTGCCTGTGTTCCAGTCCAGTGCGATCCGCAAAAATGCTGCGAGCACTATTTTTGCAGATCGCATTGGACTGGAATGCAGGCACTAATGTGCCTGCGTTTCCGAGTGCGGGCGATCGCACTGTGGGCGATGCCATTGACTTCAATACAGCTCCACACCCCCCTCCCGCACCGGAACGCAGGTAGTCGGCCTGCTTAAATTCCAGTGCATTCCAGTACATTACAGGTCCCGTCGTCCTGTCCTCCCGTGGTGCTTGTGTGGCCGACGTTGCACATGGGGTGTCCTGCACCTTTCCATCTGCAGCGTCTGACACACATTTTCTCTAAAATGTTTCTGTCTCTAAATTGTGGCGAGCTTGCTGGAAACCTCCTGGATGACAGCTGAATAATCCCAAAGTGTTTAGATGAATCGAGGAAGTGAAGGTGAATTATCTTTGCCATACTTTAAGAAATACTCAGCAGCACTTCTAGGATGCGCGATACTTTGAGGTCTTTTAATGCCGCAAATGCTGGATGCAAATGCTGTGCAGTTGAGAAATTAAGCAAAATGGTGGGAAATATGCGCAGCAAACCGCATACATTAATATATGGCAAGAACACTTATACAAAGAATCATAACAGAAATAAAACTTTTTGATTAATTAGCATGACATTTTGGTCTTTGCACCTAAAAATGTTGCAAACACATTCATAAATTCCCCCCATTATTTTTTGTTGACCAGACATAAAAACAAATAGCATTACTGTAGTTAAAGAGTGCAGATTTTAACCCCTTCATGACTGAGGCCTTTTTTTCATTTTTTTTGTACCCATGTTATATTCCACATAAATGATCCTGGTCCGCACCAGTTCTAAGTCAGCTGCTAGGCGCCGGCCGAGGCGAGGCGCTGTCCTCCGTCACCCTCATATCACTGCCCCCATGACAAATGCCCTAAAAATATGGGCATTTCTACTCCTTCACACCTCCCCGGGGCAAGCCTGTTTTTCGTCAGCTGCAGACTATACCGCATCCGCAACTATGAGCCTAATATCACATCAAAACTTTACAGAACATTATAGGAAGCAATACCCTCTTATCATTTAATGCCTTTAAAGCAAATTTCAACCTACCGAATACAATGTTCTTCAGATATCTGCAGGTGCAGTATGCAGTACAAACCCTAGGCCCTCCCACCTTGACGTCAGACCCCACTGAAACTACCCTTATTCAGAATAGGTTGCACAAACTCCTCTCAACCTTATATCCGAGACTCCTAATTTTGGACATGCCCAGACTCCAACATCTATTTTAGATCTGGGATGACACACAGGCACACTACATCTCCTACATGATTTCAGCCAAAGATATACATTACATATTTATATACACAACTCAAAATGCTACAAAGGGCATACTACACCCCATTCAAACGTTCTACAGTCTACCACACCTCTAGCCCCCTCTGCTCCTTCTGTCCCAAATGCCAAACTAAATCCAACTCATTTATATATGTAATGTGAACCTGCCCTCCGAGGGATTACTGGCTACACATTATTGGGTTTGGACCTTGCTATCTTACTCTTGGGACTGATGAACAGTCTGGACTTATCCAAATCTACCCAAATTTTCATCACCTATGCTGCTTTCTATCCAAAGACGCCAATACTCCTTTGCTGGAAGCTCCCTGATCATCCCATATTCTCAAGGTGGAAATCACGTGTTGACTCCACCCTTTCCCTATACAAACTTGCTTTCATAGGTCAAAATTGCCTCCAAAAATTGACAAAATATGGTCTAAATGGTTAAAATTCTACTAAATGGACAGCCCCCTTAAATACTTGAATATCTGTAAAATGTCTTGGTTCAATACTATACACTTCATGTGAATAGCTATGTTGCATTGCGGTTGCCCTTCAATATCTAAACACCAAATTCCTGCGCTGTAATAAACTTTCATCTTATGGTCTTTACAATCTTTCCTGATATTATTTTCTGGATTGGAATCCTTGTGACCAGTACTAATCAAACATCAATCTCCATTTATTTCCATAGACTACAAATCCATCCACATCAAACAGTCCTTGCTTATGACTGCAGGTAGTTTACATTATAACATTCCTCTAATGCTTTGGTCTAGCTAGCATAATATCCAAGTTAAGCCACAATAAAGTCTTATAACTGATCTGATAAACAGTATCCGTCAGGAGTCTCAGCCTTCAGCCATGAACAGAACATTGGCATATGGGAATAATACTATGTGGTTCCTGCCCTCTACATAATTGGCTCCAGCTTTATACATTACTCTGTTGCATCATGTCGCCTTCAGGTAAATGCACAGTCGGCAGGGTTAGTTAGAAATGAAAATTTATCTGCTGACTAAACTGCCAGTAAACTGTATAAACTGTGTTACTAAAAATATTCAATAAATACTTAGTTATAATCCAGTTCATATTCATTAAAATTGTAATTTTAACTGAGAGCGCTTTCATTTTGAAAGGCCGGTATGCTTATAAAACATAAATAGCTGCAAATAAAAATTATAAATGAAAGAAGTTATCATATATTAATTTGATGTGTCCAAGATTTATGTGCCTGTGCTGTACAACTGTTTTCATGCTAAAATGCAAAAAGATCAGCCATTTGAGGCTTACTCACTGCATTCACTAATGTACTCCTGTGACCCAAAGTCATCATATAAAGGTCTATTGCCTGTCACTGCTCTTTGCAGGGAGAAGACGATGAGCTGAGTGATCAGAGGTTACATAATAGCTCAGTTCTCGATCTATAGTGCAGGTGTGTGACAGTTGCAGTGTCATATTACCACTTTAAGTATTGGAAAGAGTGTATTTTACTCTTTTAATAGTTTTACTTTAGGTTACTGTATGGTTAGGCTAATTGATTTGATGATTTATATTAAAGCGGACCTTTACACTCAAAAATCAAATTCTACCAATGCATCCCTCTATGTATGATGATTAATAATAACATAGACATGTCAGGTGTAAAATGCTGTGATTTTGAAATACCTACACTTGCACAGCAATCACTTTCTGCTTTGAAAGAGCAAAATGACTTCAGTTAGCCAAAGCAATGAACACTGGGATTGCCTTGTCATCAGCAGAGCATTGCTGAAAAATCTCATCTGTAATCTCATGAGATCTCAGGGAAAGGTATTTTCCTCCCCTGAGATGATGTGCATGGTCACATGTCTAGTCACATGTGCCAGGAATCCAGGAAGTAAAAGGAGAACTAGTAATCTGCACTTAGTAAACATGGCTACTGTGAGACGACTAGGGAAGAAAAGATAAATAAGGTATGCAAAGAACACAAAGCCGGCAATTATCTAGCAGTATGTGTTTGTAGACTGTCATTACTAAACATTTCTAAAGGTGTGTTTGCTGTTACTTTAAAGATATGGGTAAAGGTCCGCTTTAAGACAGTGGGTTACGGATAAAGCTTAAAATGATATGAAAGTCAAAATGTTTTTGAGCCATTTCACATGCTGAGAATATCACTTACAATGTATGCTGCGGCTTAATGTTTAAAAATGTTGGCTTCCTGCAGAATCAGCTGGTTCCTTGAGCACTATCTCTTTCTATGGACCTAAAAAGACTTGTTTATAGTGCCAGCTGGGAACACACACACACACACACACGGGTAGCTCTTTGGGACCCTTTAAAGGAAAGGAGCCACCCTAAAAGAACACAACACGGCAAGCTTATTCTACATGGAAAGAAAAAGGCAATACACGAAGGAGTAGCTATAATAACATCTGAAATAATTTGAAGCTTTAATATCAGTTTAAGGATTATGTGTAACCTGTCTGGCAGGAGAGGAGATCTGATATTTCCTTGCTGCAGTTTCACTTTCATTTATAGGTCTTCTACCTCCTCCGCCCTGAGAATGGTCTGTGAAAGAGACGCAGCAGACTGATGAACCCCACCCTTTCCTCTTATCTGCATGTTTCTTGTTACAACATGAGCACGGCAGCAGACCTGATTGGCTCCGTATGCTGCTTCTCCATCCCCCTTTCTGAGCTCTGCTGTAAATGTACTGCAAGAGGCTAATGCCAAATCAGATTCAGGCACTTACACTACTTGTATTTAAAAACCTACATTCAATAACGTATTCATTAAAACAGAGCTGCATTATTTTGGGTCTTTTATATCTGCCTGGAGTTCAGCTATAAGAGGCTATTTATTATTAGTGTTTATTAACTCTTTAGGTAGGTGAGGATTTCTTGTTACAGCTGCTTTAGTGTAAAGGATACATAGAGATTTGTTTTTGTTTTAACTTTAAGGAAGATTTCAGATTTTTTTCACTTATTCTTAGGAGTGCTGCACTGAAAACTACCAGTGCTGGAAAACATATCTGATGGATGATCAAAATGTTCACTATAGATAAATGTCTAAAATGCAATTTGTATAGTACCTGCATTATGCTTTCTTATTCTTTGGTCAGATTTGTTGTAATATGGTTTAGAAACAATTTTCACTATAAGGCCTGCAATTTCACAATGATAACTTCAATAAGGAGCCAATAAGATGTATACGTAGACTATATTAACATATAGTATTTGTACAAACTATGAAAAACAAAGAGATACATAGCTGAAAGTCTCTGCTAACCGAGCACAGGGCAGCCATCAGAAATTTTAGGGCCCTTTACACGGCTTTAGGCCGGGCCCCCCCCCCCCATGAGAGTGACCCTGCAGCCCATCTGAGACTGTCTATAGTGGGCTCTGAAGGGGTTCTAAGGTAGGCTGGTCAGGGCTGCATTCCCCTCCCTAGCCTAGCTCCTCTTACCTGCACACCAGGCCTCCTCTGCCGCCGGACTGGCCAGGAACTGACGTCACGAGCAGCGTCGCTGATGGGGCCCCAGCTTGTCTCGAAGCTGATGGAGCGGCAATGCTGGGGCCCTGCGCTGCTAGGGCCAGGCCTCCGCTGCATGCGGCCCGTCC